TTATTATTATTATTATTTCAAATGTATATCCCACATTTCTTCTGGGAGCACAAATGGGATCTCCCTCTAATTATATATATTTTTATTGTGCAGTAGATTAGACAGAGAGATTATGATTGGTCTGAGTCTGAAGTCCAGCACTTTAACTTCTTTGCCACTGAAAATTATAGACTGCAAAAACAAATGATGAGATATCTGAGGGTTATGATGGTGCTTCCAGATTCCATGCTGATGGCATAATTTTTAGTTAATAGACTATGTTTTTAAGTTCAGTTTAAATATAACAAACCATAGAATGGCGAGGAGGTACCAGGAATTTGCCCATTAACTCTTTCTGAACAGTAGACAGAGCAAGCACAAAGATCCCCTGGTATAATCTTCCCCCTGTGGTTATACGTATATTATGTATTTCTGTTTAAATTACTGTAATTAAATTAGTCACATATAGATTATTTATTTAACTGCCTACCAGTGCAAGAGGGGGAATCAATCTATATTCATGTTATTACATATCTAAAATGAACTGGTATGTTCACATACAAATTATTGGCCCACATATGTATGCAGTTGTTTGTGTCAGACTCACCTACTCACACCATAGCAAAGATGAAATTTACTTAATTACTTAGAGGACATATCCTTTTCTTAATGAGAGGAGATATGTAAAAGTCTGCTTTAAAATAACAGAAATAAGCTATAGAATATAAAATCAGACTAAATCTTGTATCATTGAAGTTCCCTACAATTCATAAGAAATTGTAATCCTAAATTTATCACAACATTGGCCTTTATGGTACACTAATATTAGAGCTTGCTAGCAAGAAGTAGAAGAAGAAATAAATGATTAATAGATATCTCTTGTAAAAAAGATGCTGCTCACTCAAGATTTAGAACTTTAGATAGTTAATGGGTATACTAGCCTACAGTACTGCCAGGACCATTGATCCCCAAGGACTGAAGAAATTTTTTCTAATGTCATTGCAATAAAGGTAGTCCTCGTTTAGTGACCACAATTGGGACCAGCAACTAAGTTGTTAAGCAAAATGGTCGCTAAGTGAAATGACCATGCTTATGATCTTACTTCAGCTTTCCTTTGCTTTACAGACCTGCGAAGGCCATAAATGCAAGAATTGGTTGTAAAGTTACTTTTTCATCACTGTCATAAGTGCAAATGGTCGCTAAATGAGGCAGTTGCTAAATGAGGATGACCTGTATTTGCTCATTGGATTCATGACAGTATTACTTTGTTTTGTGGGCTGATGAACAACCTCTTTTATTATTTATAAACAATTAAACTTATAACAAAACAAACTATTTATTTATTTATTTAAACTATTTCTCTTGATGCCTATCTTGTTCTCACAACTTGGGATGCCTAACAATACATTATAAACCAACACAGAATGTACTGCTGGCTTCCACTGTTCCATTATATATCTGAACAGACTAACCAGAGCTATGATTTCTTCTATTGCTTCCGTCTGTAATATTTCAATACTGAAGTTAAATAAACTGGTGATATGATGTAAGTCACCAATCTTTATTTTGTATTATTGCTTCATTGTTCAAACCAATGCATCTTTTGGACAGACAGGTATTTTATCTAACTTTTTTTTGCTAAGGTATCTGCCCCAACTCCAACTTGCTAATCACTGATACATGTGATACAAGTGATGAAAAGAACTGGTTGCTGTGTTTTTTCAAGTGGTCACTGTTCATTCATGTTTAAAAATTACAAATTTTATTGTACCTCTCCCCCAATTTTTAAAATAAATAATTAAACCTAATTCATTAGTCTTTCCATTGCACTGATAAAGTGTCAGTTCATACATAGAAAGTGATTACATGTCTATAACCTAAGATGCTATGTTTGGAAGAACTCTGTTTTTCCAAAATTGAATATTATGTTATTTATTGTGTGCTATCCACAGTATATCCATAATTATTATACAGTATAACCATAGATTCCAATTTTTTTGTATATAATTCAAGAGCACACTCACATCTTTTATGTGCATTCATATGACTAACTCACCTCCTTTGTCTGATGCCTGATTTGTCAAATACTTTGAGCTCCAGGAGTCTCATGTCAGTCCTATGACATGGAGAATACAACTGGAGTCACTGTTAGGAACATATGCAATACAAAGCACGCTTTCATAAAAATTTGTACAAAGTAGCTGTAGAAGGTTTTTGGCAGTAGTTCTACAGAAGTGTATCACCTGCACATGTGAATGCATAGACGATCACTTGAAGAACCACAGTTACATTAAGCAATTTATTTGTTTTTTGTCTAGTTCATACTTAACGGACTATATGGAAATCTAGTTCTTATTCCCTGTGTAACACTTGCTTCCTACTTATTTCTTGAGATATTCATCAATTTTCAGAGAATGCTTAAAAAAAATAAAAGTATTTCCACTTCATAATAATGTCATATATGCCTCTCTTATCCCTGGACATCTCTGTCTTTTTCTACAGCTTTCCTTTTATTTTATTTAATGACCTCTCCTCCTGCTCTTGTGTGCTGCTATAAATAATATGTTTACCTTTACTGTTTATATTCTCTTTTTAACTGGCTTTGTATCTGTTCCAGTTGCATTTTTCTTGTTTGCATGATGACCCATGAGATTGGCTAGAGCATTAACTGAATAATAACCTTTTGCATTGTTACCTCTTAGGAGTGTTCATCAGACATCACACTAGTAGGAGGTGAAGGATAGGTTTTGTCTTTAGTAGCAGTAGCATCAGATTAGTGGGAGGCTGTTGCCTCTCATTCCTTCCTATTTGTATTAGATCTGGATACTGAAGATGGAATACTGAAAAAGAATGAGGGGGAATTCTACAAACTGTTCTTCAGGCATCCCAGAAGATACCTTGGGCTTTAAAGCGGGGTATTAATATCATGTGGTAAGGGATTTGTCATTATGATGAATACACTTTTTTTCTGTAGAATCTTTCTTCAAAGATAACTTGTTTCTTAATCTTCTTGTTATTTGACTAAACTGGGAAGGGGCACCCTGTGATTCTTAGGCTGAATGCAGCCTCAGTATAATTTTGAAAGTCTTATATAAGTAAGGAGTTTACATCCATGGCAAAAGTTTCTCCCTCAGAGAGAGAAAGGTGTAAGACCAAGAGGGGGTAAAGGGAGATAAGGTCCATCTACTTTTCACTCTGACCCTACCTGTTACTGGGTCCAAACAGATGGCCCCCAAGTGGTGTGAAGCTTGCAGAAAAGGGTCTCCAGCTCTTGGTCTTCATTCAGCTCTGGTTTTAATTCTCCTGACTAATTTCAGCTATCGCAACACTGTGTATGTAGCTTCAACATTCTGGATAACCAAATGTTTTTGTATGTGTTTTTCCAGGTATTCACACTGAAACCTTTTGAAATGAATGGTCTCCCCAAGGTGGTGCCTTTAAATTTGCCTTACCAGGATTTCAAAAGGGATGTATCAGAAAATAGGGAAAGATCCAAAATTCTCCAACGGATAAAAAAAGTGGATTTCTCAAATATTGTCTTAACTGCCCCTTGTAAACCACCTATAGCTCATCTTCAAGTGGCAAATGGCAGATACAAAGACAAGAAGGAGGAAGAAGAAGAAGAGGAGGAGGAAGAGGAGGAGGAGGAGGAGGAGGAGGAACTTGGTGAATTAGGGGAAGAACTTGATATGCAGAGTGATTCAAGCAGTGAAGTGAGTCAGAAAAGTACTGAGCATAGTCAGGAAGGTGCTCCATCCACTCTTTTGGCAGATGACCAGAAGGAATCCAGGGGCCGAGCATCAGCTGCAGAAGGAGACTTGGAACTTGAGGAAGGCTCAAAAACATTAGTTCTCTTTTCACCAGGTGACCTAAAAAAGTCTCCTGTGAATACAGACTTGGCTCCTGATATTGATCTTGGAACTCTTGCTGCATTGACTCCTCAAAGTGAGAAACCTCAGCCTATGGGAAGCCAGCTTGATGTATCTGAGCCAGGAACATTGTCTTCCATCCTCAAGTCTGAACCAAAGCCTCCTATGTCTGTGGCCACAACCTCCTCCCCTTTTACCAAAGTTGAGCGCACATTTGTCCATATTGCCGAAAAGACACATCTAAACATCATGTCTTCCAGTGGTCAACTTATGAGGCATGAGGAATACTCTACTCCAGGGCAGTTTGAAGAGATAATCATTGAAGAAGAATTAGAGGAAAATCAGGTGCTGGTAGAAAATGGGAGTGTGAATTCAGCCTTGGAAGGGGGAGAGATGGAAAGTTGTGCTTTCTCAGTAAATCATATTGAAACCACCTCTGAAACTGCAGCGGAACCGGTACTCCTGAATGGTGTTAAAATGGGAGAAGAAGAGGAGCTAGAACTTAAGGGCAAACTTATTCCTGTGTCAGATGTGGAAGAAGATAGTAAGTTGATTTTGGAAGAATCTGGCCTTGAAAACAAAACCCTTGCAAATGAATCCCTTAAACAAGCAGAGTTGCTTCCACATATTCTAGCAGAAACTTTCAAAAAGCCACTGAATATAAGGTATAGAAGCCGTATTCCTGTCTTGCTCTCTGAGGAGGACACTGGCTCAGACGTGTCAGCCTCACACTCTGGCAAAGAGAGGCTATACAAGAGACTGAAGCAACAGGATTTGGCCCGCCTGGTGATGGAGAAAAGGCAAAGCCATTTGTTCAGGTTAGCTTCTGGAGCTTCATCTTCTGCTTCCTCTAGTGATGAGAGGCAGCGGGCTTCAGAAACCTTGTCAGCCACTGGTTCTGAGGAGGATACTCATGACTCAGATGATTTCACCCCAAGGAAGATTGGAAATCAGGAGAGAATTTCCCTGGTTAAGATGGAGGAGAAAAGCTTAAATACAAGGAGCAGAATCCCTCGCCCCATTGTACCTGTAAAGCCACCTGTGATAGAACTGAAATATGGGAGCCCTTCAACCCTTCCACCAGCAGCATCAAGTAGCAGCATGGGTGATGCAGCTGGATTGAACAGGTATGTGGTACTTCTTTCTGATTCCACAAGCAAACTGATTTAGATAGCTACTTTTGTTCCTGCTTTCTCCTCAGCCCCTCCTTTATACTTACCCAGCCCATCCACTAGACTGTAATTGGCCATTTTTTTTTGCAGATCTTGCTATGATATTAGACCATAGTTTGAGAATAGGCTGCCTACAGAGCCTTCCCAAATACCCCATGGATTCTTCTTCAAAATTAGGTGGAAGTTAGGTGTTTTTGCATTTTAATGAGGTTCCATTGGTATGGGAATGGCTTAACCAAGGCTTAGTTATAAAGTCTTGTGACTGGGTGTGTCTTAACATTTCACCTTGCTTGTTGTGGCATTGCTGTGGTATTTGGCCACCATATGTTTAGTTTTAACTGTTACAGACTATCAGTTTCTGTCATATGGTCTTGTGTAGAGTTTTAGAATAAGCCAGCAGTTGTGACTTTGTCACAAAAAAGCATTGCTCTTCCTGTTTGTTTCCTTCTTGCAGGATTCAGGGGCAAAGACCATGTGGGAATATATCTGGTGATCCCCGGATGAAAGCAACCACAACTGCTACACCTTCCTTGAAGAGCAGCCCAAGGAAAACCACCCATCCTCCAGCTAGAAGTCCTGTTCTCCCTCCACGAAACCTTAGTGCTTCCCCCAAAAATCAGTCCCTGTCCAGAAAGGAAAGTCCATCGCCATCTCGACCACATAGGCCTGGGACCACATTTCCTCTGTGGGCTCAGTCTTCTCCTAAAGCTCCACCCAGGGCTCAGGCTATAGGCCTATTGGGAGATACTCCTGTGTCACCAGGTGTGTTCAGAAAAGGACTAAAAGGGAAAACCCATACTCCAGGAACCAAAGGAAGGCAGATATCCCAAGAAGGCAAGTCTACTGCTAGATAATGATCTGCTGCTGCCAGTCCATTAGACCTACCGACCTACCATCTTGCCAGGCTGGAAAAACCTCTGCGTTTAATATACACTCAAAATGCCGCAGCACAGCCTTATATGTCGGAAATATATGCATATAGCAGCTAGCTGTACTTCAGTGCTTCACTTGCCCACATGCCCATGCTGTCTCAGTCCAGCTCTCTACCTGGCTGAGAGCCTCCTGGCCAGCTCATGCTTCCTTTTGCCAGTCACCAAGCAACAACTCAGGCAGCCTGCCTAGTGCCTGATATTCTTTCCTCCATGCTTTCTTTTAATTTCTCAGTTAGCAATACCACAGAATCCTGAGAGATTGCTAGGAGAGATGGCTTTTTAGAGCATACATCAGCCCCAGTCAGTGGAGAAATTAAAGGGCTGCAGGAAGAGACATCTTGGTGTGAACTTCTAGATGGTCTAGACATATTGATGTCCCTGTTTGGCACCCACTCTCTCTGGGCCTTCTTTAATGGGGCTCTGGCGATGCTGATGGTGTATTGATAGAAACAAAGTTACAATCAGACCCCTCAATGGCTGTCCTGCTTATAGTTATATTAAGAGTCAATAACAGCCAAGAGGAGAGGAGCTGCATCTTTTGCAGCTTTTTTTGGATGCATAGCATCCCATGGCAGCAGTCCTGAGAAGGTTGCTGAAGAGAAGTGTTAGGTTTCTTGGAGAACCTGCTCCAGGGGGCTCTGAAGTAGAGAGACATCAGTTTTCCCCTTCAGCAGTGTGCCTGTAAGCTAATATCCACAGGAAGTAGTGTTTTGTGTAAAGGCGGCAGTGAAAGCTTCTCAGGGACCTCTGCATGGTCTCTTTATTGGTAAAAATAAAAGAAAGTGCAAAGAAAAGAGCTTTTAAAGCCTAAATAATGACCTAGGGAACCATCGTGGCTCCAGTGTATGGGGTTTCTTCAAGATCCAAATATAAGGCACTCTAAAACATTGGCTGCCTCTCCTTCTGGGATATGTTGGACATGCAGGTTTTTTTTATTATTATTTTTATGTTTTAACAGGCTTTCCATTTCTAAATGCCTTGCAATGGTAGTACCTGCTTATGTTAGAAATCCAGCCACCAGTCTTTATCTACAGTGTTTGGCACCTCTCAGATTAACTGGTTTTCAACCTGGCGCTTGAATATCTTGATAAAGCTTTTGAAGCTGGCTAATTTGGGAAGGTGGAATTTCATGGTATCTCCCTTCTGTGTCTGGCCTGAAAAATGTGAGCTGTATGAACTTGCCATCATGATCAGGAAACACATTATAACTAAGAGCTTATATCTAAGAGTCTAGATTTAAATATGGAGACTTGCAAAAAAAGAAGAAGAAGAATGCTTGCCTCTTGAAATTGTACTGAATAATATTCTCCCCACCATCTATGTGAATCTATAAATTACAGCATGATAGAAAGTAAGAAATGAAGGACTTGAGCAGAGCAGGCTAATTTATTGTTGTGTTAGTTTTAGAGGTCCTTATTCCAGTTTTCCTTTCCCTCCACAACTATCAAGCAGAGCTATATGAAGTGTGAATGGAGCCTGGTTCCCTCATTCATTTCTTTAGACCAATTTTGGTTGCTGTGTAAACTTAATAAAATGACCCCTGCAACTTCTTAGTAAAAGATAAAGAGATTCTTGGTACTCAACATTTCCACTTTTCCTGGTGGGAATTCAGGACTCAGTTGTTAAAGGCAAATATCAGTAGGTCTTGAGCACCTACTGATAACTATTTTATCAGTAGGTGCTCAAGGCCCAAGATTGCCCATGAATATTCACACATCAAAGAGATGTTGGCTATTTTTTATATTGTATTAGGAAATGGCCTTTAAAAAGAGAGAGAGAGAGAGAGAGATAATGTACTATTAATCTCATGCCCATCTTTTCAACAGAGGATAACTGCCAGTTACCAGTTATCAGAATACGCTATTGAAATAGTAGCATGATTGTCATGGCGTACACCTGAGGAAACATGGGACGTGTGGTTCCATGAGAGGATTATCAAGATTTAGAGTGGAATTCCAGGACAGGGCTAAGAGCAATATAAGATACAACTCTGCTTTGGTAAGATCATGTTGATGAAACAACAAAGAAATGACCATAGAAACAACCCTGATGATGATGGTGATGATGATGATGATGATGATGATGATTATTTACAGTTGGAGCTACAGTGTGATTTTAGTTGAGACACAATTACAGTGCAATTTTGAGAAGAAATGCTCTAATTTTACAGTATTTCCTCCCTTTTTAATATATATATATTTATCTTTTTTCCTTTCCTCCCATAACTCTCAGAATTTTCTGTTCTGCAACTCTAGGAATCCATAGTATGCAAGAGCCTCCCAGTCATACTTCCAGGCTGTTCCAAGCCCCCAAGGCCACTGCTGGAGTGATAGAATTTTTCATACCTCTTTAAAGAGTGTTCTGATTTTTTGTTTGTTTAAATATTTACACAAACAAGCCATTTTATCCTCCCCATTCCCTTCATCAACAACTTTCCCACCTCCCCGCACCCCATCATAAACCTATTTCTCACCCTCCACTAGACATAAACATCCTAGTGGAAAGGGATAGAGATCAGTGGCAGAGCACATGACTTGCATTAGAAAGGTTACAATTGACAGCTTTTCTACTTGAATGAATTGAAGAGATAGGAAAGGGTAAAGACCCCTGTCTGGGACCCTGCAGGGCTGCTGTGAATCTGGATGAACAGTTGTGCTAGATGGACAAATTATCTTATTTGCAAGATGCCTAGATATATCTGAAAAAGCAGGAAGATGTAGAGCATCTAGTGAGCCATAAAGAGAACCCCTAACTTGGTTCTTTTCCTTGGTAATAACTCAGTGTGGCTTAGAATCTTTGCTAGCCAAACTCTGCCAGTTGGGAACCATTGGCATGACCTGTATTAGCAGATTTAATCTGGGATTTGTGGGGACAATTATAAATATTTCTGCAGCCATTAGTAACTCCCCCTTGAGAGGTAGGAGCAGACAGATTATAAGGCTTGTGTTGATAGAATTTGTTATTCTGACAGCTATTTGGGATTAATATTTTGGAATATCTGATCTCATCAATCTGCTTTGATTTTCTGTATTCCTCATATAAATGGTTGGGATTTATATCTGAGTAGAGGACTGGGCCCTATTATTGAACTTGGCCATATGGCTCTCCAAAGACATTTTATTAGGCATAGAACATATTCAATCCTAGACCTCACATGTGAGATAGGGATGTGCCAATTCCATTGGTAGATAGCCGTCACCCATCCCAGCTCTCCTTTGCACTTGGCGGTAAAAGATATACAGTGGGAAGCCTAGTGGTGCTATCTACAACATTGCTTGATTAGTTCAGAAAAAAACCACTGCTCACATGTTGACTTCATTCACATACTGTGTTAAGTCATAATATGATTTGCTTGTTTGTGTTAGTTCTGTGAGCCCAGCCACTGTGGTCAGTAAACGATAATTTATAGTTTAGCACAACATATGAAACCAGCCAACTGATACCTGAACCCAGTCAGCTGTGGTTTATTCAATAAACCATGGACCTTTCCCCATAAATTCAGAAACATGGGTATTATTCAAGAAAACTGAATAAGCATATACTGTTCCCACTCTGTCTCAGCTAATTCTTATCTCAAAATCAATATGCTTTGTAAATATCAGGGTACAAATATGAGCACAAAGCTTGGAAAGAAAAGGCTGCTTCTTTCACCTTCTGGTCAGCTTCTCAGAGTGTTCCCCCCACCCCAGCTATTTTTTGGGGGGGCCATTTGGGAAATTGGATGTAGGGTATAGAAGGACCCTGTATATAGTCCTGATTCCAATAAGAAAAGCACTTCAGAAAGAAACCTTTTTAGCTTAAAAATCAAATAAACACTCTCTTTCTGTGCCCATCTCTTCCTTCTCCTCCTCCTCTTCCCCCCGACCTTTTGTACCCCAAATGTGGAAAAGGAAAGAAAGAGCTCCACATGACATTTTGCTTGAACCAGAGGCTATAAGTTCTTGGGCATAGACCGTTTTGACATACTGAGTCCTAGACCTCACATGATGTAGGGAGGCAGGGAAGCACTGACTCTACTGGTATACAAACACCATTCAGCCCTGCCATCCTCCATACAATGGGATGATGATGATGATGATGATGATGATGATGACGACGACAATAACATCGTCCTTGGGAAGGACATGCCAGGTAGATAAAAATGCCAAATCCAGTCTAAACATTTGGCTGACTGTGCAACCAACCATAATAATAATAATTTTATATTCTGCCAGACTCCCAGCAACTCTGGGCAATGCCATCTACAATCTTGCTGGTTTAGTCCAGAATTAGTAGTTATTCTGTCAATAGATGCCCATGGGTCAACATTGCTCAGGGCATATATACCACCAGAGATGGGAGCCATCTTCCATTTTGTAAAGGAGATGACTGTGGTTATTTTCTCCTTAAGAAACGAAATATTGCTAATCTCTTGCCAGTCTTTCCAACACAGGTAACTGACAGACATTTTCCTACAATGCGCTGTTTTGAGGCAGGTCATAGGTACATGATGGGGTAGGGCAGCTATTGCATTCCTGTTATTCCATCAGACAGTTTTAATCATGAAGCTGTGAAAGCCTGCAGTCAAGCATAATGCTGTGGTATCTGTGTGTATGTCTCTCTGTATGAAATATTTTTGCCTGAGTTGCACATCTCAGACTTTCTGTGGCCAAAGCACTGGACTGAAAACATCCCTTAAACAGCAGTTATTTTGGATCTCATAAATGGGAGAGATTAATCATAATTTTATGTGCCATTAGTAACTTTTTGTTTGTTTTGTTTCGGAAAACACTTTAGAGACCCTTAGCAGTCCTGTGAAATTTGGAACTGGGGTTAGCCAGATTTTCTCTTACAGGTCAAGGCTTGTCTCGTCCAGTTTGCATTGTATCTGATTTCTCTGGCATCAAAAAGAAGTATGCAATTGCTGACATTTTTATAGAGACGGTTAGGTGTAGAATGTAAGGATTTTCCCTCACCCAATCATTCTCCTTTGCTTGGTGTCTCTGCTTTGTCTCAAGGGATAGAAAGAAATTACCAACATTTTGGAATACTTGAGTAAGACAGGCACAATGCTGTTATATTTCAGGTATGTGCAGGAAGTGGGAACATAGCTTCTCCCTCTTACATATTAAGATTGGATGAGCCTCTATCTCTCCTTCTCACAACAGGGATCAGTGATTCTTGAGTTCATGAGCAGATTTGTCTTGCATATCCTCCTTGATATGTGTGTGTAATGCTACCAAAAGAAAATTAAATTCTGCTCTCAGTTTGGTTTAGGAGGCCTATATTATTTTAATTGGGTGATATGTG